GGTATCTATGCAGGTACATTGAGTTTTATGATGCTATGTCCGTGCCAATGGCTATTGCTTTATCTGGTCGCTTGCTCTTTGGCCAACCAGTAATGGTAAAACCTTCTGAAGCTGAAAAGAACCTTGTTCAGTCAACTGCGTCTGGTGGTGGATCAGGGTTGGCGGGGCCAAATGCTGCCTCAGAAAGAAAACTTTATGTTGGAAATCTTCACTTTAACATGACAGAATTGCAGCTTAGACAGGTAACAAGACTGACTTCTCTTTATCTGTGTATAGCCACTAGAATATTCACTTGTCATGTGCTCTATATAATGGCGGCGCTTAAAGACGCAATATTCTGCAACGCCGATCTACCTTGACTTATAAAATATAACATGTTGCTGAACAAATCTGTGTTTTAGAGGAAATATATAGTTCATGAAAACGCCTATATGTTTATGTATCAAATCCTTCATTTATAGGAAAGAAAAAAATCGTAAGATTTTTCTTTGGGATTTTGTCTTTCTTGTAAATTCAGTACATGATAGACACCCATACATGTGTTTGCCTAAACTTTATTTCTTCTGTAACACTAGTTTTTTTCCAGCATGTGTAATTGACTTTTCCAATGTCTTTGCCACAATAGTCTGACTCAGTGAAGTCTTCTATTTCTAATTGTTTTCTGTTGTATCTGGTGTGGTCAGATTTTTGAAGCTTTTGGGCCAGTGGAGCTTGTTCAATTACCTACAGATCCTGAAACAGGACATTGCAAAGGATTTGGGTTTGTCCAAGTCAGTATTTAGTGAACTGCAATATTTCTATCCTGTGTTTTCTCTATCATTATTTTATTTCTCTGAGTATCTCCTTTGTGGTTCATCTTAGTTTGCTCAACTTGAACATGCTAAGGCGGCTCAAAGTTTGAATGGTAAGCTTGAGATTGCGGGTCGGACCATCAAGGTATGTAGATAGACGAAACTCGTTGCTGATGTATGGTCTCTGTAGACCTCACCTCTCTGAATACTGTTGTATGACAATATCTACTGATCCTTGACTGGCTTTTTGGTTCAATGCAGGTTTCATCCGTTACTGAACATGTTGGAGTACAAGATGCTGGAGCTAAAACTGCAGACTTTGATGATGATGAAGGGGGTGGCCTGGTGAGTTTGCTCTTAAATCATTAGAGAAGGACCTTACAAGTCATTTTTTCCTTTTATTTAGGTTTAATACTTCGTAAATTATCAGTATGATGGAGGTGGTAAAAGGTCCATCCATGTTTTGCCAGTGTTATGCATTAATTTTTATTGTTCATCTCTCTGTTACTTTCTTCCTAATTCCCCTTTTCTTTTATGGTGTTTGTTCGGTATTCAAGAAAAAAATGAACCAAACCAACTAAATAATTCATTAATATATAAAGTTTATGATCATAAAAAAATATTTTTATTCAAGACACTTTAAATATCTTTAACCACAAAAAATTGTTTTAGATTTTTTTTTTTTAAAACGTCGTCTTGTGTACTCCAATCTTCTGTATTGAAGTTATTTCAAAGTGATTTATTGTTTTAGCATCGAGGCTAGATAAGTTTGTAAGTTGTCACGTCTCATAGTGAAATTTTGTCTCAGATATATGCTTTCAATAGATAATAGGTTTAATCAAGTTAACTGATTCTCGCTAAACATAGACATATGAGAAATTGTGTCTTAGCTCTAGTAGATATTGAAATGAATTTGTATTTTCATGTGGGAAAAACCAACAAAACCGAAACAAGATAGTGATTCTTTGTTTTGGTTCACAGATGAAAACAGAGAAACAAAACCATGAACGCTAAGCATAAAACCGAAAAAGAGCGTAACACGGAGCCATTATCAAGGCTTAGGAAGTTTCTGCTTTGACTTCATCCATCTGGTTATGTTGTTTTCAACGAGTGATATCTCTTCCTCCGAGGGAAATTCTAATTTTGTGTTGAAGCCACTCAGGCAGAATTCTACCTGATTTTTAGTTCTTGTTTTTACATGTTCTAGAAAATTTACAGCACTTCTTTTTTCCTATTTTGGGATGTTAATAAATGTGAGACTTTAGCACTGCCCCATAAATAATACTATTTTATACAATATCCACATTTTCTCGAGAGTTCAATCCCTAACTATGGGGTTGAGCTAAGCCCAGGTGCATATCTTTACATGGTATTATAGCTAGGCCCATCCCTATTTGGGCTACCGGTCCATGCTCCTGTTGGGCCTAAGCGTGAAGGGTTAGAGTCCTCCATCCTATGTGGAATGGATGGGTGGTTTAATAATCTTGGACGGTTGGACCCCCCCCCCCCCCCAAAAAAAAAAAAAAAAACACAAGCTATCTTTTAGATATGAGACATGACTTGGGCGCAAGTGTCATATCTTTGCATAAACATCGATGTTGATGTTTGCAATATCAAGCTAACTTTTCAATCATTATTTTAATATTCCTTTCATTAACTTTAATTTATGTAATTGCTGAAGTTCAACTAATAGTTTATACTCTGTCTAGTTTAATAATCGCATGAAAGTGCAACAGGCGAGTGCTATGTAATTTCATCAACTTTACCATGATATATTTTCTGCAACAAAACTTTGTTGAACTTGTGCAAAAACTTAATGAGTTTACTATAGGGGATCTTGCTTTGTTCTTTCTAATACGCCATGTCAAAGAATAGTTATTTAAGTGCACGCACATCAAATGCCCTTTTTCAGCTAGTTGGTGCACAATTCTCACTTTGACTAAACCAGACCCCACTTGTGTGATTTCAATGAGTATATCGTTGGTGTTATACTTGGCAAGCCATCCTCAAAGCAGCTCAATAGCAGTGGATCTGAGTTCATTCATTCTAGGAAGTATGAAGTATAGGGGATGGAACTTGGTATTTTTTTAATAAAGACTAATCCATTCGTAATATGATGTTTACTGGGAAGACAGAAGTCTTCCTTTTCCTGTAAGTTAACGAAAACGTATGTTTGATCTTTTTTTTCTCTTGGTACCTCTGCATGTGGATGCCTGTTACATTAGAAATCTGATGAATTCATTCTCTATGATATTAACCTTGTGCAAAGATGGGGAAAAACTGCCAAATAGGCTTTTAGTAATTGCTATCTCTGTTATAAAGTGCACATCCATCTGAATCGTTTTTGTGTATTCCAGGCATTGAATGCTCAGTCAAGGGCCATGCTTATGGCAAAATTGGACCGCAGTGGTGTTGCTTCAGGGTATGTCCAGCTTTCTCCCTCTTTTATGCCCCCCCCCCCCCCCCCCCAAAAAAAAAAAAAGAAAAAAGAAAAGGAGTGTTTTTACATGCAAAATCTAATGCTCAAATTTTTCCTCTGCAGTGTTGCGGGTACACTAGGAGTTCCTGCACTTAATGGTGCAGCTCAGCCAGCAATGAGCATGCCAATGGGTGGAGCAACAGCTTTTCAGAATATGCTCCCAACACAACTCATTGCTTCCATGGCTCCCGAACCCATTGGGATACCCAGCGAGTGTTTGTTATTAAAAAACATGTTTGATCCTGCAACTGAGGTTTGTGTCCCTGTGGAGTCACATTTAACAGCACATTTCTGAACCATCATGGATAGAGGAGGTGCATATCTGATTCTCTGTTATTTCACAACATATTGATCTTCCAATTGTGTGCTGCAGACGGATCCAGAATTTGATTTGGATATTAAAGATGATGTAAAGGAGGAATGTTCCAAGTATGGCAGGGTCAAGCATATCCATGTGGACAAGTACGTGGTTAATTTGTATTGTTGACTGCCCTGTGGTTTTTTAAGTGGCTAGTTCTCCATTCCTGTTTAGACAAGTCTTATTCTTAAATATTATGATCCAATAATCAGCTATTCGGGCTGGCTACTTACTGGTAAATCAATGTCATTTTCGTCAGCTATTGATCGTAGATGTATCTTTTGGCAGGAATACCTCTGGTTACGTGTACTTGCGGTTTGATAGTGTTGAAGCTGCATCTCGTGCTCAACAAGCCATGCACAAGAGATGGTTTGCTGGCAGGTCGATTTCAGCCATCTACTTGGTAAATGCCCAACTTGTCCCAGCATTTTCATGTCCTTATCTTCTTCCTCTTCTTCGAATGCATAAATGGTTCATGGAACATTTTTTTTTTGGGGGTGGGGGTGGCAAGGGGGGTTTGGGTTGCAGAATGTTAATTTCTACCCTGTTGGTCTGTTTAATGAAGTGTCATTTGTTCCTATTCTGTTTATTTGTTGTGGCATCTTGATTCCAGTTATGGCAGACAGCTGAGTTCAGACCAAAAAATAAAGAAGAAATTTTTGGACTTGTGGGTTAATTTTGACAGCCTATCTTTTTGTTGTCACTTGATAAAGTAAAGAGTGAATACACTTGCCCGTACTTGGTTCATTATATAGACTTCAGATCATTTCTTTTTCTGCTCACCCTTAGCCTCCCCCCAACCCCTATATAAGATGGGTAAAATGGACAGTACTTGTAGACAAGTCTGTTATATTAAGTTCTTAGTTTACCTAGCTCTTGTATATGTTTTGAATGAGCTTTTTTCTTTGACGATCGAAAAAGTGCAGTTAGATTTTTCTGATTGTTTTTTTCGTGTTGTGCAGCAACCGTATGAATATGATGCCAAGTTCAAAGGTACAGGCTAGATGGGAGCCATCTAAAATGTCTGAAGACTGCTGATTTGTTTATTGTAATTGCAATAGTGCAGCTGATTTTGTAATTTAAGTTGGGATACCAAAGACTCGTTAAAGTTCCTTATACCCGGACAGATGAGGTTATAGGTTGTGTAATTTTGACACAGTATTCTCATTTTAGTCAACTGTCACTTATGGAATTCATTTGTATTTTTTTTTGGCAACTTGATTGATGAGATTTAAGTGTGTTTGCTATTGGAAAACGCTGTTTAGGTTTGTGTTTGAGAAAATGAGAAACAATGACCAGTGTCTCTCATGTTTATTTTCTCTTTTCGACCCTCTAACATGTCCCATCACCTTCACTCATACGGCTGGTCTCTGCTTTTATCCTTCATATTATTTTCTGCCTCGTAACATGTCTGTCTCATCTGCATCACCCACGTTCTTACTCTGATACCCAACCACTGAGTATTGGAACCAGGCTATGTCGCTTGCTTCCGGTAATTATATTGATGCGTTGCTCTATCCCTTCATTGACTGAGCAGCACCATCAGTCTGAAACTTCAAACAGTCTCTGCCAGTAGGTTGAATAATCAAAATTTGTGTTCGAATCAGTCTGCAACTTCAAAACTAGCACTGCCGGTCATATCAAAATTTTACTACATAATTTGAAGGCAATTTGGGTAGCAACAACTTAACTCAACTCAATAATTCGGTAATTCTTTTAGGCGCGCATTGCCATGTGGCAGAGCAGTTACAAGCAACAGCTCAACAAGTTCTCATCAATTCAACTAGCTCAAAATTCTTTCGTGTTAAAGACGAACTTCAACAGAATTCAACAAGTTAAGTTCTCATCGCATTCTCAAGGTAGCTCTTCAATGGCGATTGTTTACTGATTCTTCTTCTCGGTAAGTAACAGTACTACTTGTTTCCCGACTTCGTTGCTCTCAGTATCTTCCAATGTGTTTTAATTCTAATAGTTTCAACTCGATTGAAGGATCCTCAATGGCGATCGTTTACTGAGCCAACCGCATAAATCATCGAATTCGTTTCTCTTCGCGGTAAGTAATTGTTTCCTGACTTTGTTGCTCTCAGTATCTTCGAATTTGTTTTCTGTATGTATGAGCGATCTAGCATTTCCAGCGAGAAGAACAATTGCTTGTGAAATGCAGAGTCCGTTTCATTTTAAATTGCACTAGCTAGGTATTCAGTGAGGAATTGAATTCCCTTAGGTGTTTATATCGTCCTATACTCTTTCTGTTTTCAAATTTCAATAGAAGAGCAATTTGCTCTAGTTTACCTGTTTGTTATCCACATGAAATACAAAGAAACTCTGTTATACTTTAAGACAGAATAGGAAATTCAAGAAAAAAAATATTCATTTCTTAATTGACTTCAGCAGAGATTGTATCTCTACTCGATAATTGCATTTCTTGATTTTACAGTTTAATAGTATGAATGGATTAAAGAAAGAGAGTATGTCTGTATTCCTCTTTTACGTCAATAGAATCTACTTATAATAGAGAAGATGTCAACTGGGTCAAGGAGACAGAATGTATTCTGACAATTGAATGGGATTACAGTTGCCACCTAATTGTCACAACTTTCTAGCTGAACTGCGTGTTATCCAGATGAAAATACAGACTGTTATATTCTTTTCTGTGTATTAGATCTGTGATTTGTAACTTCAGTGTATCAATTTTCATTAGTGCATAGTTCAAAGTGGTCTAGATGGAAGAAATGGAGTTTAGAAGAGTTCTGTATTTGTACTCAAATGATTGCAAATCCAACGTGATTGATTTTGAATGGATTAAAGGAGGGTCCATTCTGTACTCAATTATGTACTTTTTAGTTCTTAACTTACACAAATAATGAGAAATGTATTTTTTCTTGCTGTAAAGTACTTCCGCCTGCTACTGATTTGTACTTGAAGTTCTAGACTTGCAGGTTTGTATCAAGTCCTAAACATAAGGGAAGGTTGATTCATTTTAACTGTTCTGGACAGTGTTTAAACTGCTAGACGTCAACGATAATCTGAAAGTCATAAGATGAATGACTGTATGAGTTTAGATACTGTTTTTCACATCGAAGATGAGGTAAAAAGGTTGCTTAAAGAGATAGACCTGATGAAAAGGAATGTTCAGAACTCTAACTTCTATGCTAAAATGGTCTTGGGTCTCAAGAAAATCAGCCCTCATTTGAGTGACCTTCCAGTAGGCCCCAATTCAAAAGCTAAGGTGGTGATTTATGGTTTGGGAAGCATTGAATTTAATTACAATTCACAAGTTCAGCTTGCCTTATTTCTCCTACTAAAAGATCGTGTTGATTGGATGGGCGATATAGAGATCTATGATCCTGTGATGTCTACCGTTGATATGAAAGTTTTTGGGATATTCGGTCTTAAGGCTCTTCACAATGATGAAAATGGTAGGAGGAAAGCTCAGGGACCAACTATGTTCTACATGCCTACTCCTAGTTATTTTCTTCTTGGCAACATATTGGAAGCAAACTGGTCTTCATCTTCTCTTGAGCAGATTTTTCTGCTGACAAACTCATTGGAGGCTATGGAAGAGGTCCTACCGTCTTATGATCAGTTTACTGTGGCAACAAGGATACGCTTATCGATAACTCATCTGTTCAGAAAAGAGATTCCCATACCAGAATCTAGCGACTGTCAGATGTATCCTAGTTTGTTCCTTGGATTTGGCTGGCATTTCTTTAAAGGGGTCAAGAATTTACCAGTATGTATCTGGTTATACAGGCAGAGGTACTTGGATGTGTGACTAGTTACTGAAGTTTTCATTATTTTTTTTCAAATGCAGTTCTCTATTGTTGTTCTATTGATACTGGGAACAAAGGTTCTGCCAATTAGCATATATATCATCGAGATCAGTAGCCTATAGTCTCTGTTGCATATGATGGTTTCAGCCTGTCGTAAGATTTAAGTGCTATTTGAAGAATCTCGATTTTGTTGGTTGGATCATGCAAAGTACTTATAAAGTATTTGCTTCCAGAAAACAATAAAGTGACAGAGCTGACCTGAAGGAACAATATGAGGGAAAGGTTTACTTCATCCCTAAATAACTTTTTAACATCTGTGTTGCAGGTATTTTGAAATGGTCATTAAGCATGATTTAAAAAGCAAGAAGATTAGCAAGGAGTTTAAAGAAAACTTGGCTTTTATACGTTACCCTCGTGACTTCAGAATGTGCGCATTGCCTCATCAGGTTGGTTGGTTTAAGCTAAACATCTATGGTATTGGCAGAAAAGAGGGTGAGCTTGGACGATATGGTGGCGTGTTCAAAGATGAAGGCGGAAATTGCTTAACTAAATACTGTTATAAGTTTGAATCTAATTTTGAAGATGATGTGATAGCTGAACTGGCTAGCTTGAAATATGGATTGACTTTACTGAAACCAGAGAGGTTGATAGTGGAGTCCGATAACATAATGTTGGTCCACTATGTTAATGGTCGCCTTAAGCCAAATGAAATAGTCAAAGTGAAATTGGAAGAAATTTTCGAGCTTCTGACGGGTATAACTTACGTTGTATACTATGTCTATGAAGAAGCCAATAAAGTGGCTAGAGAATGGGGGCTCTGAACAATGATGGAGGTGACTTGGTGAGTTTGCTCTTAAATCATTTATAGAAGGACCTGTTTTCTGTTAAATACAGGTTTTGCTGAATATACATTTTTTGTGGTGTGTATGTAGGAACATGATGACAAGTTCATAGGTACAAGATGGAGGCTGATTTTGTGTTGTATATACACTATGATCTACTTGCAAGTGTATAACAATACACTATGTAAACAAAACATTATGCAATACATTAGCCTCATGTTTCTCGTGATATCAAAGTTTTAAGCTTCTTCCGCTATATATAATTCACGACAATTTTAAAAGGCAAATAAGACTAGACTATCTTATCCACATGACTACTTTAGTCTTTATTAAACTCAAGTCCCTCGAATCACCCGTTTTCACATCAAACTCCACCATTGGTTCCAAACTCTAATTGAAGAAAGATCAACTAGAGAAGATTGAATTTGTGTGAACTTTTTTCGGGTTGGGTCGCAGTATTTCTGATAAAGTTCTTTTTTTTTAAAAAAAAATAATTTAATTTAAAGATTTAAAATCTTTATTTAAGAGAAAAGACAATTCTATTCTTTTATGATATCTAAATTGATAAATGTACATCTAAGTCGAATAAATAATGTAATCGACCTGACATGAAATAGCCAAGTTGTTAGACTGACCCTGCAGAGCAGTTTAGTTATTTTTCTTAATTTAGATTTTAGTCATTATAATTTATTGGTATTGTTGTTGAAATTAAATTAAGGAGTCCTAAATTGAAAACTATGAAATAATTATCTTATATAAATAATTTTTCTATATCTAAACAATTGCATATATTTGTGTTTCATGAAGAATTTTAATTTTTTGGAGTAAATTTCAAAATAACTAATTTTAACGCATTTATTTTTCCAAAAACGGCGGAAAATTTAAATAAAATGGCAAATTTTTTAAATCAAACAGGTCGTGCGCGGATCTGAATCGGGTCGGGTTAATCAACTAAAAAGTTAAAACATTTCGATTAATTTCAACATTTCTGTTATCAACTAATTAATTGAAAATATTTTGGCCATTTAATTTAATTAAATAATTAAATAAAGAATTAAAATAAACTTTATCAAAAAACAATCAACCAAACAAAAAGAGTCCCTCTTTCCAACCCTTTTAACAATTAATATGAGTGTTTCTATATTTAAACTCTCCTATTTTTTTTTCTTCTATGCCTAAATTACTATTGATATTTAAAAGTTTAAATTTTAAAAAATTCAACTATATCACATAAATTAATTAGAGAAAATAGTTGATAAAAAGTACTTGTATATTTAAATCTCCAGCAACTATTTGATACAAGAGCATACGTGGAGACAGTAGAATCATACATTAAATTTGTATCCACACGTTATATTTATAGGTAATGAGAAAAGGCCATATTTGAGATGCCGATTCATAAAATCCCATGAACTTGTCCCACATTTTAAGTCAAGTGGTACATATACATTAAAATAACATACATGACACATTATCCACTTTCATGTCAATGAATCAAATCATCAACTTGCAAATCTCAAAAAAAAAAAACAACTACTACATATCAACAACTTTCTTATATTATTGAGCTATCAAAAAAAAAAAAGAAGGGTAAATAAATAATAAAAAATTGATCGTTGATTTTATTATATGATAATTAATTTCTTTTGTTAATTATGTATTACTTAAAGACAGATACGTACGTATTCAAAAAATATAGAGGATGGTCACTGTTATGAAAAAGTGAATCTAATATAGAAGTTTAATTGATTTGATCTTTAGATTTTGTCTTTTGCACTCATTAAACATTTAAAACTATGGTTCAAAATTAATTCATATATATGTGAGAGGCGATAACTAAATTTAGAACGAAAACTAGACAAGATATATTTAAGATTAAAATTTCTATTCTCGTTCAGAAAGGTACACCCAATCATTATTGTGTCATATAATATTTTGAATGCGCATTCACACATATATTTAAATATGTTTTAAATATAATGACACTATGTATTCTATATGAGCATACATTCACGTGAACCCTATAATCTCTCCTAAGGCCCCATACTTTGAGGCAAATTAACGATGAATTTGAAAGTTAATTTCTATTTATTTATTTTTGTCAGCACTTGAAAAATACCTATTAATAATTTATCTAAAAAAATTAAATAAAGATAATTCTACGTAACTACAATATATCAAGTGAGTAGACTTGAGAGAGGGTGGGATGAGATGTACCTAGTCCTTACTTTTAATTTTATTGAATAGATAAACTATTTCTAATAAATCTCTAATCCGAAAATAATACATGCATTCGTATTTTCAAAACAATTATGTACTATCTATCACACAAGCTAAAATACAGTAATATTATTTTAGAAAAAAAGAAAATCTTGCCAATTTATTAGTGTACATAAATCTATTAAATCCTCAATCATAATAGAGTGTACTTTTGATGAATAGACAAAAGGCTTTGGTTATTCCACGTAACACAATATGCATTAGTATCCACAAGCATTTAGTTCTTGCAAAACAAATATGAGGTACATATTCTACCACAATTCCTTTTTTGTCTCCTCCACTTATATACAACTAAGCCATTATACAATTTTTAATTTCCCCTTCTTTACACTATACTACTACTCAAATTCATTAACTTTAGATACTATAATTTTTTTTCTTGTTTAATTTCCAAAAAAAGGGTAATGTTTTGCACTAACAATTCTTTTCTTTTTTGCTACTACAACTCCAAAAATTATTAGTACGTAGTATGAATGGGAAATGACAGATATTTCATCAATTTTGCATCAAGAAGAAAAAGAAGAAAAAGCAAGATGTGAATGGGATTTTCATCTTTCTACTATTATTTCATCTTGTAATAATCTTAGTGGATCTGGTTGTGACACAATTGGTGTGTTGGAATTTGACCCTTGTGGTAATTTCCTAGCTTCTGGTGGTATTGCTAGGAAAATTCGGATTTACACCGTAAAGTCTGTCCAAGGCGAGAGGCGTATCGGCGATGCGCCTCTCGCTTTAGATCACAGTAATGCATGTGATTTTTTTATTTGTACTCCGGCCAAACTCGGGAGTATAAAGTGGAAACCCGGTTTAGGGAGTCGGGTTTTAGGGTCGGGTGATTACGATGGAGTGGTTATGGAGTATGACCTAGAGAAAAAAATGCCCGTTTTCGAGCGTGATGAGCATGGTGGTAGACGGGTTTGGAGCATTGACTATTGTCAGTCGGATCCGGTTTTGGGTGCATCCGGATCCGATGACGGAACCATGCAAATGTGGGACCCGCGGTGCGGTGACAGTGGCAAGTGTTTAGCTATGGTACAACCTACCAAAGGGTATAGTACACCCGTGTGTTGCGTCGAATTTAATCCGTTCAAAGGTCCAATCGTAGCCGTTGGATGCGCTGACCGGAGGGTCTACGCGTATGATATGAGGAAAATGCTTGACCCACTCTTTGTCCTGGATGGACATGAGAAAGCAGTTACTTACATTAGATTTGTTGATGAACGTACTATTATTTCTTCGAGCATAGATGGTTGTTTAAAAATGTGGAATGCGGAGGACCAGAAGGTCCTTCGCACCTACAAGGGGCATAGTAATAGTAGGAGGTTTGTAGGGTTATCGGTATGGAAACCGGGTGGATTAATTTGTTGTGGCTCAGAAAATAATCAAGTTTTTGTATACGATAAAAGATGGGGTGAACCAATATGGATGTATGGACGCGAACCAAGACATGAGCATGGGTTCGTTAGTAGCGTATGTTGGCAACAAAAGGACGAAAATCAATGCACACTCGTAGCTGGAGATTCAGATGGTGTTTTACGAGTTTTTAATGGCAAGAGGAAATGACTATATATATATATTCACTCAAAATCCAGTAAAAGACGAAGTATCGGCAAAATGTGTAATATTATTTCATGAGAAGTCAATCGTGGCCAATACAACAAGGTAACACATTTTCTTTTTTCTTTTTCAATTATTCTTCTAATTAATACAGGAGTTAGAGGAATTGTTCACCATTTACATTTGTCTGAAATAGATAGATAGAGGATATGATTCGATAGAAAAATATCTGAAGAAATTTAAATTGCAAATGCTATATAGTTTATTCCTTTTTCTCTCTTTGTTAATTAGTTAATTGTAATAAAAGGGAATAATAATTACGGACACATCTTTATAGAAAATATAAATATGTCTGTTCTGCTACTGAACTTTATAACGAATATATTCTCTTATATAGTTTTTCTAAATTATTTTTTTTGCTATTGAAGAAGGTACAAATGCGTAAATTAAAGGCCGATCGATTTGTGTGCCATTAATTAAACAAAAAAAACTTAAAATACAACGTACGTTTAATTTTCCATTCATCATTTTTTTTAAACTAAAATACTTGTGTGCGATAAAAATCATGCAACAGATGTTAAAAACACATATTTATCACTTTGAAAGGCTTAAAAACCTTACTCAATATAGAGTTTGATGATTTGATATAAAGAAATAAAACCTTTGTATTATAATTATTTTTTAATTTTTTCTGGCTGAGTTGTTAACCATCATTTGACCTCATATCGGAGGTTCTATCTTGAAAAAAAGTTTACATTTAGTTATAACTGGTTAAACACTAATATATTTAAGAAATACAAATTATATTACGTCAGTCAATACAAGAATCCCTATTGAAAAGGGTTTAACAAAAAAAGATCAATTTCTAATCTTCTTTATAAAATATTATGTGTTAGCACTAATTTAATCATCCTCGTAGATATTCCTCTTATTTATACTAGTATAAAACGCTTGAATATTAATTTATTTGATTTCGTTTTTATTGGAATAGTGAATTTTATTTTATTATTATGAAATATTGAATATCCGTACTTCTTCATCTTCTTTTCCAATTAGGTAACTCACCCGACTTCACTAATAAAATAATTGTTCAAGAAACTGTTAATAAAGAATGTCACTTAAAATATTTTTTAATCAAAAGATTATATTAAACATAATAATAGTATTATGTATACTAATTTAAACTCACTTATTAGAGATATATATTAAAAATTTAAATACCTTTAATAAAAATTTCTTATGACATAGTTGACAGAGACTAAAATGTTAGGTTTGCTTGCGTTGCTCGAATGAGACTATTTGAATTTTTTAATGTTTATTTATATTTATATACTTATAATATTTTAGAGTTGGGTCGAAGCTTTTCTATTTATTGATTGATGTAAAACCTTTCTTACTTATAATTAAATAGTAGTCTTCACTAAATTAAAAAAAATAATATAAAACTCTAAACAATACATATTATACGTAAATTATAATTCTTTTCATATTTATTAAGTTTCAATTTCATAGTATTTATCAATTGAAACTAAAAGCAACCTCACTCTAATTATTCAATGCAAGCGAGCATCATCACAACTTCATATACGACTTAATTTTACTTATCTTATCATTTTCATTTATTTCTTTAACAAACTTATTTAACTTGCACATATCTCTTATTCTTATTTATTTATTTATTGCCTTTTAAATTATTTGACACTCAAAAATATATTTTACTAAAAAGGAAAAAGCAGATTTTTTTTTTTTAAAGTTTTAGATAAGTTTTTCCCTGTCATTCTGACATCCATGTCACATTTTATGTTTGGAATGTAGGAATCAAGTTTCAATCATTTTATCCAAATATCGAAAAATCTTATCTTTAAATTTTTGGTGTGTAGGCACCAAAGACACTGACACTGACTACAACACCACTAGCTAGTTATAAATTTTTATTTTGTTTTGTAACATTGTTATAAAAGATATTCTATATCACTAGACTATAAATATTTGATCATACCGTTAAAATTCGTATTACATTGGACTTCTCAAAAGTGGTGATCCACTGAGTTATAAGTAATCATTAGACTTAAAAAAGTAAAAGTAGTGGTTTTCAATAATTTCAAAAAGAATCAAATCTTCGTAGAAAAGCCTAGCTAAATTTAAGTGGATTTGTTCACAAGTTTATGTTGAGTCACGTAAGTTATATAGGAATTTATGATAAGAGTTAAGAATAACAATTTTTTTTTATTATATAAAGTTGAATATTCACTAAAAATAACAAAACAAATGATATTTGTTGAGAAATGCAATAACTCATGAATACTATTTTCATTTTGTATCTTGATTTATTACATATGAATTTGTATTCGGAACTCTTTTGAGATATGTTTCTGATTGTTGGATTAAGTAATTTCTTTATTATTGGAACATTCTCTCTTATACTATCTTATATCTAAAATTCAATTCACTATTAATAAAGGATTCCTCATCGTTGCACCAATTGATTTTTGAGTGTGTTTTATATTTCAAGTCACAGAATAGTTTTATGAAATAGCAAAGTTGCAACCTCTAAAAATCATATGGATGATAAAGTGCAACCTCATAGTACTCCAAGTAATTAAATGTCACAATTAAAGATTCTATAGGTTATAATTAATACAACCAATAATTTAATTTTGTTGTGTGTATTATGTATGTCTTACGTATATATTTTGCATGCCACTCACTTTACTATATTATTATGCCTAGCATGGGATAGCTAGGCACTAGCTACCAACTAAAGTTGAGAATTTGAAGTGAATTTTGTAAAGTTCATTTTTTAGCAATTGAAGAAGATGGTTACGTGCTACCAAACATCGCGAAGGATTCAATGAACGTATTGAAACTTAGCAACACAAACAATTCATTGAATGATCGTTAGCTAGCTATATTGGAGTCAGTGAACGTGTTAAAACTTAACAACACAAACAATTCATTGAATGATTGTTAACTATATTGGAGAGTTCAAAAACTGATAACATGTAACTATTTAAACGCTTAATATACTTCTACTTGAGGAAAATATGTAAGAGATAGTTAAAGGTGTGGAGATTTGAGGCATAACTAATAATAACCAAAATCAAACAAAATGCAATTTGATTTATCGATAATGAATTTAGGTTCAAAAATAATATTTCATTATTAACTTAGTTATTCTTGTAATATTAACTTGGGAGGAGACCATAAACTTCAAATTCAAAATCCGCTTTGAATTCGTTGGACCATATGGGAAGTTGGTCAGTCTGGTTCAAATCACAGATTTCTCGCAGAAAAATAAGAGCATACCTGCCCATGACCCAAATTTTTTTAAATTTTCCTTTCCCTAATCCCTCTTCTTTGTTGTGTTGCAAATGAAGAGAAAGTTCAAATTAGTAAACTCTATATATGGCTTCATTTTTTCACAATACAACATGTGTTGCTAATTTTACAAAAGTCATGTAACTCCTTTTTTTTTCCTATCAAGATACAATATAGATAGAACGAAAAAAAAAAGAAAAAAGAAGAAGAAATGTATGAGGAATTTAGGATACAGTTCTTTGCCTCATCCATTTAGTAGCTGACCATTTCTCTCCTGAGAGTACTTCACATCCTCCATGTAGACTATCAGGGTCAGATTGTCCATCAAGCCCCTAAAAGGAAAAAACAGCATTGATCAAGTGGAATTCATGGTTTCAGAAAGAAAAAAAGGTTTTAAAGATAATAGATATTTAAAAACTAATATGAAAACTGAGAAATCCCCGAGTGCTAGTAGCACACGGTTTGAAACTCGGATGAAGTACCAGGACCTCTCTATCTTTCTCCACTTACATACCAGACTTTTTATCTGTGGCAAGATTCAAACACGTGACCTGTGCCTCATTCATACATCACGCGCCCGCTCTAATTACTAGACCAAAGCTCTGGGAGGGGCATAAGGGTCCCAATAACACACCTGATGTCCCTTTAGTAACATTCCTTCAATTCATTCTTTCTTTTTCCAGAATGCTTTGACATGGTTTCTACAGTATTTTGCCATGGTTTCTTCACTACCGTTATTTCTTTCCTTTTTTTTCCCGATCAGTTTTGGAATGTTTTTCCTTGAGCTAAGGATCTATCGGAAACAACCTCTTTACCTCCCAAGATAGGGTAAGGTCTGCCTACACCTCTACCCTCTCCAGACTCCACTTGTAGGTCTACACTATGTTGTTGGTACTCTGCGGCAGAAGCTTTTATGTATAAAATTCTAATACATGTTCAAAAATAAGAAACTCTGTGTATCCAGTAAATAAATGAAACAATAGTCTCATATCCCATCTAGTCCAAACGATGCACAAAGGAACTAGATTCAATTAAGGAGACTTTGGCTAGAAATATTGAGTGTGTGACACATTATGGATGCCAAGTAAAATGACTAACAAGATGTTGCAGTTCTTAAAATCTTAAAGCAACTAGGCCAACATTTTCGAAGTACTTAAGAGGGTTCCATAGATGAATTTTTCGTCAAAAGTTCCAGCGAAAAGGTTTATAGCAGGTGAAAATACTAACCATACTCCAAAAAAGAACAGCATCTCCTTTCGTAGGTTTTACACATAACCCTTGGATCATTTTGCCGCCACAGCTACATTTACCAGTGCCAGCCTGATGACAGCATTTGAAATTAAAACACAGGCATGAAACTAGAAACCTGGGGGAAAAAAGTTGCGCAAAAGATAGGGGAAGGCAACCAAAGTTGGTGGAATCGACATGTACGGTCAGGTAAACCAGAAAAAATGGAAAAAGAAACATATATGGCCTGGTAACACATTTCCAGGGAACAGCATACATAACAAGACAAATTTCATTCTGGCCCGGAAGTGAAAGCTTAATTTTGGGAATTTCTCCCTGAAATGTTGTGCTCAGTAGACTTAGCACATAATCATATCTGAAATAAGCCAGTTCAATCCTTTCAAAAAGCGGTAAACAAAATTTAACAAAACCTTAACAACTCGGTAGACTTTTTATACCCTCCACCCTTTTTTTCCCAACTCCTATACTGCCTCTCGGACCGCGCAAACTATTCCCATGCCTACACCCTTATCGAATTGCAAACCACCATTCAAATCTGTACTAGCTACTACTAGTTATACAATAAATATAGAAATGTGAGAAGATTATAGGCTGTAAAATTTGATTTAATTCGTTTAGACAATTTAGGATTACAATTATTTTGCTCGGATAAAATAATGGTTTAATGTTATGCTCATGATAAAACAAGGGAAAATTTAGTATGCGAATTAAAGAAAATACTGGCATGATATACAGTAAAGCTAAAATCACCAAAACTTGAACTTTCTAGTGTCACGTCTTTCAATTATGAAACAGAAAGAAATCAAGTTTCCAATCTTTTGGAATATAGACAAAAAATGGAATGTTTATTGATTTCTGCAACATAAAATCAATTCAAACTTATCTTCAAGCAACATTCGCAAGAAATACAGAAGAACAATAATTGCAGCAGAAAATTCTTGACAGCAGTGAGCAATCACAAACCCTCAAGAAACTAAATATTATAAAAGCAAACAAATTCCTCCAGAAACTACTGATTAAGCAATTTTTGTTCTTTTTGTTCACAGGGCGTCCACCCAAAATTTGTAGACTTAGCATACATCAAATAAAAGGAAAAGTATTTGCAACTAAGACTCGGCATGTTCCTTATATAACAGATAATTCTTCTATCAACAAATGTAAAGGGCAAAAAGATGATATAACTGGTAAACACAAGGTTATGGACAAGTTCCAGCACCATATAAATGTCTACATCCAAAGCAGCTCCATTCAAAATTATACAAATTTTGCATGGAACCCCTAGTTAAGTGATCAAATATTGATTGATATGTTGAAAATACGCACATAGCACTTAAATTGATAGTACAGAGACATGAAGCTTTCATTAAATACCAGGATTATGAAGTGTCAGTACAAATAATTTTTGTTCCTTAATTATTTGACTGAATATGACTAAGGCATCCAACAATAGATTCATTTCATACAATTTAAGTTGAGTACTCTACCAGAGAAAATGGAGTGTCAATAATACAAAAAAGAAGTTATTAATCAAGGTTTCATCATTCATTAGTGATTACCATAGGAAAGTATGTTTCTCCCCCCTCCACATTGTCGCTCAAATACATGAGCATTGTAGCTATTCTTTGACCTCCACGCTTCACATTAAACTGCAAAATAAGCAAGTATTTCTCTCATTTTGAGAAGAGAAATAGACAAACAGAGCAATAAGCCAATAATAGAAGTGACAAACTATTGAGAAAGAACTTACACTATCAGAGAAATAGTCATGATGGGCTCTATAGAACTGATTCTTTTCATACCTGTGCTTCTGCAGATGTTAGCCTTGATACTGACATATATTAGCCAGCCATCTCACAACGGTAAACTGAAAAACCAAATGTCATAATACATACCTTAACACTTGAATGAGTTCCCCATTTTCTACTGGTATTTGAGAATACACAGAAATTCGTTTTTCAATTGCCTGAAAATTACAGGAACACAGAGAATTTCACCAACATAAGACCAAAATTGTCAAATACAAGTGACCACATAATCACAATGTCCTATACAGTAAAACATTCAATTGTAAACACTGGGAAAAAGAGCAGGTTAAAATTAAAAATAGGATACCCAATGGGATAATAATACATTGTTAACTTGAAAACATAATGACAAAGTAACATATCATGTTATGCTTCAGCAAGGGAACAGAGAACAAGAGAACGATTTAGAGGACCTTGAGCTGTACGGACCTGTATCATGGGATACTTCCTCTCATCAGGGTTCAGAAACATACCAGAACTTGTTCTGACATCACTCTTAACTCCCTAGTGAAAAAAGAAGAAGAAGAAGCTATCAATCAAATTGGACTTCAAGCACTAAAAACAAGGAAGAAGAAAATGACAAATCGCAATCATAGCATTTCATAGAAACTACAGTTGTATAAGATCAAACCGCAAAGGAAGAACTTTCTAAAATTTCAAATCATGTAGCTTGGATCCAAAGAAATAGCATAAAAGATGATTTCATCTATCTAGTTGATTGACAAAGGATTGAGGTAGACTAGTCTTTCAGAGGGCAATGACAAACCTAAAAATAGAGAAGTCATTTAACTTTTGAAAAAGCACGTTCATCGTATGAGAAGTCCTATTCATCTATATGATTGTTGCCATATTCTTCAATAACTCGCTCCTTCAAAGTTCAAACTAGGAAAGCTAAAGCATATCTTATATTTCCTCGTTACGTTTTTTTTCATTGAGGAGAGAGAGCTAATCACCTACCTTTTCTGGATGAAGTATAGGATTTCATTAACAAGCATTCACGAGATACAAATAAGTATTAAAAAAAGACATAGCTCTTGTGAAGTTTGATTCTGAAACTCGTAAAACAGAAGGAGCTAACAAAATTCATAAGCTGATCAAATTATTTACTGTGCACAATTTGCACAGAAGGTCCACCACACACCCACAGTCTTTTAAGGAATGACTAGGACTTGAGATTCCATCAAAGCATCTGTAGTTCCTCTCCTCCACATGCTCCAGGGAGTGCAGGCTGGGATCATTTGCCAAATAACCTTCATGGCTTTTACAACTCTCCATTGTCCCAACTAATGTAAGCATCTTTGAGACTGCAGTGCATTACTGAAATACCCCTAAAAGACACAAAACATATTACACATGTCCTTTGCCATAGGCAGTGAAGAAAGAGGTAATATTCAGCTTCTTCTGTACATCTAGTATTGGTTGCACATAATGACTCCTCTCTTAATCAGATTGTCCTGTGTAAAGAAGGCTTTAAGTAATTCTATCTGACTGCAGCAGGCTACGTTAGTTGGCACTTGTTTTCCATATCATGGAGCCATTCTTCAATATTATGTTGTTCCCGTAATGGTTGGTATAAAACATGCTTTCACAATGAACTTCCCTTTTTCACTATTGCCCCATTTCAGCCTGCCCTTTACCTGAAGATGAAGTCTTACGCTCATCCAGCTTAGTCAAATAACTCCATCAAGCTGTCTTCTCCTAAATACAATGTTGCATGAGTTGCTAATAGTAGCCTATGTCTTACAAACAGAAACAACTCAAGGAATTCCTCTTTCAAGGTGCACTTGCATAACCATTTATCATGTGAAATCTGATCTGTTCCCTATACCCTACTGTGAAGCACACGTTTGAACTAAATTCCTCTACGCTAAAAACAGAAAATGGGTAGAACTGTCACAAAAGAAATACAAATTGAGGTGGTATTTGAAAGTCAGTGCTCTTCTAGAGACAAACTTCAAAGCAAAAACTCTAACTTGAACATTACACCAGAGTACTTTTATAGGCAAAAGTAACTTACTGTTAAGAAATTGTGGAAACTCACCAAGCACATTTATTTAATAGAAGTACGGAAATCAAAACTACCAAAAGGATCATAATAGATGCTGCATATGAGAGAGTGATTTTGCATAGTGAGCATACCTTCCCAGTTTTTGCATCTACAACAGTGGAAACATGAAGGCGAGGAATGGCAATCGATCTAAGATAATCACATTCCTGTGAAGGCAATATGATATACATTTCCCAAATTATCACTATGAATAGATGGTACTTTTAAAAATCGCAAAAGACCTAGTAATATCATCCATCTATTTGATAGCACATCTAAAGATCAGGATTAATGTATTAATATTCTATTCCACATCTTCACCTCGTTTCCCGCCTCTCCCATCCATCCATCTGTGAATATGGCCAAGGCATAACGCTCGATTGTTCAATTGAAATTCATAATTAACATTCTTAAGTGATTTTTCACACTTGATTTCTTCTTTTTCTTTTTTTCTTTTTTTCTTTTTCATGGGTTGTGAACAAAAGACACAACAATGTTGCCAAAAGAAACAGTGACCAATTAAGCATAATGAAATATGTTCTCCATAGTGCTAAACTAAATTAACTAAATATGTCTCACTTTGATTATCAAATAGAAGTTGTCAGTAGTTCTCAATCCAAAGAGAAGCTAATTACAAAGTTTCTGAATTCACAGATGCTTCTGGATCTGATATATATTGGGGAAACCCAAGATGCAATTGAAGTCTATCTATTGGAATTTGGTAAATAAAAATGCATATATTATTGGTAAATTGAAGCAAGGACCATAAAAGAACCTCTAAAAATTCTACATTCCAGCTTTTTATGATGGTGGTGTTCAGTCCAGCTTGCCCCACCTCGACTATTTCACTAGGTACCTTGCTATCTCCCACCAGCATAGACCATCGGGCAACTTTGCCACTAAGGCTTAGGCAGATAAAAAAGCACCTAATGGTTTTGTCTCTGCTGGAATTTAGACCCTGATCTCTATGATTTGAACTCACTTCATTATCTAAACCACACCCTTAGGTGCAAATACACTCCCACATATATTATCAATCAGTTATATTATCAACCAAGATTTTATCTCACCAAAAACATGTTAAGCGTATTACTAAGAGAAATAATATATTATCAAATAACATAGAGATATGCAATGATAGGAAGGAAGATAATAGAAAAAGAACTGGCCTACCTCTGCACTCAAGAAGTTGTGAAATAATACAATTCTTGGTTTCCAACTAATTATTTCAGGCTTCACCTGCAGCAGCATTATGACAAATTAACATAATTAAAAATGAAGCAGTAACTGACATCCATACAGCTGGTCAGTTTAAGTTACAGAAAAACATAGTCCAATATGGATGGATTTTCTCTAAGGCACATTCTTCTAGTTCTCAGCTGAGGAAAAAATTGACTGGTTCATCTAAGTCTGAGAATGTCAAAAGAGATTCTCCATTTATTGTTCAAAACAAAAAACGAAGACCATACATATTAATGAAGATGACTTTCTCATTTCCTGAGAAGTGATTCTAGAGGACACAATCTGGTACTCTAAACCAAGTATGTTCTGCTGGTCAAAACATAGACAGAACAAGAAACTCAATTTCATGAGAACATGTGTTGGTCGTTACACATAACTGATATTCTCGGAGATCTGAAAATTACATTCTGTTCATTCACCTAAGACCTTACCTGATTAACATGTCACCATCTAAAGACTCGTTGAACATTTGCATACACAAACCTCATCCCAGTGCCAACCTACTTGACTAGCATGGATACTAGGAAGGCCAAAAAGGTAAACAATTTTTGTTGGCTACTTGCATGGGGAGAAGTCATTGGAAGAGGGAACATGGCTAAATATATGTCTACCAGCAGTATTTACCAGTACATCTTACTATAAATCGTACATTAGATGGCTTAAAGTTGAGAAAATGCAACCCAAAAACGATAACATTAGTTGCTAAGAACTCATTCCGAAGATAAAATACAACCTAATACCATTTCTATCACGCAATTATGTATTTCTTGTTTTTAGGTATTTTCCGACTACAATCATGCAAATGGCAACAATTTCAAACTGTTGTATAGTTTCACTGACAAATCACAGAAGTTGAGAAAACAACAGAGACCATTTGCTTGGACTTACATATCCTACACGCAGTGCTATGGCATCTTTGTCATGAGGCCAATTAGAGATTCCTGAACTCAAAGAAAAATGATTATTGAATTGAAAAGTGAATATGTCAAAGTATCAAACAAAATATAAATCAAGTTCCAAAATCATTTTAAATATACAGATAAAATTATGACGTTTTAAGTTTCTAATTCAGGGTTAGTTACTAGTTTTCTTGTACATATCAGGTAAGTTGCTATGTAAACAAACTTATTCAAAATATTCTCTTAATTAATTTGTTTTTCCAACTACATTTATTATATAGTACCGTGCACTTCAAGAAAGAGTTTATGGAAATTATGCCTAGCTTCTTAGTGCCTGGACTGAAGCAATGCCTCAAGAGTGAGAAGCGCCCAACTCATGCTGCACCAAGCTTCAATGCTTGAGTGCACCTCAGTCTAGCCTTTAACAACATAGAGCACATGCAAGCCTAAAAACATTCACAGAACAACACAAACCTCTTGCTAACGGAAAATTGCTGCCAGCTAAACTTGCATGCTTTCCACCAAAAGAAAATTCTCTGTCTGCAGGAAGTCAGTTACAAGAACTTACATTAGATTAGAGTACAGTCTAAAGGAATACTAAGAACATCTCAAGTAATGACTACAATTAACATCTGGAGTGAAGCAGAATAAGGAGTGCTTAGACTAGAAGATCTTACAGTGTTGGTACTTCAAAAAAAAATTGTTTTCGATGAAGTACGCTAAAAGATAAACATAACAATTAATCCTGTTCCAGATCCATGGTCAAAATGGACTGGTCGTTTTCCTGATAAGTATTATATCTGGACAATTTGATACCAGAAAGCATCTTTTGCAAATTTAGAAGGTTTGTGGAAAAGGGATCACAAGGAGCAAGTAATGAGTTCACAAGGTTTGTTGGTTACATCATTGAAAATGGCAATAGAGCATATATCTTGAAAGGCACATAGTGTGGGGAGACGCATGCTGTTTAATGCATGCTATTGTATATGTGAGAAGCGCAGCAATGACTGATCTAACAGGGAAAGAAAAAAAATGGGACATAAGGTTCGGGAAGGTAATCCAGAATTCAGAGTCAAAGAAAGTTAGGAATCCTTTCCCAGAGTTTATAATCTAAACATAGAGGAGAAGGGGAATGTGAAGGTTGATAGGGGCCGGTTGGCTACAAGGATTTTTACCGAAAAAAGTTGGGGCAGCAACACTGACGAGTAGAAGAAAATATGGAATACCAAGGCGCCATATATGTCACCTTCTTCACGTGGTGTGTGGCACAAAACACAACCCACACAGCCGATAATCGAAGGAGCTGTGGCTTGAAAAAGAATCCCATGGCCGACAATCTGAAAGAAAGGACTACGGTGAGTTCGTGTATGTGCAAGAGTGCTGAAAGGACACTAACCATCTCTTGTTGCATTACGCGAGGTCATTCAACTGTGGGATCTCATCTCCTCAGCACTTTAATACTAATTGGATTGCGTAAGACCAGTAGAAAAGGGAGAAAATGTCTGACACATGTTGTGAATGCTTTAAAAAACAACCTTGGATCATATTTAAGGAATAATTACAAGGAAAAATGCAGAGAAAGATCTCATGTGAATCATCAAAATACTTTTTCCTCATTCTATAACAGCATACTTGTTTTCTCTCAACTTCAATAAAATCTTCCCTAATTTTTTACTATGAAAACTCTTCCCTAATTTTACCAAGCTTAAGCACAAAATGACGTGTCAAAAGCTTTCAACTAGCTACAGTATGAATTAAGAATCCCTCAAATGAACCTTGATATTGCACCCACTGGAATCTCATTGAAAAGTAGAAACTACAATAACTACAAAAGAAAGGACTAATTAGAGCGAGCATTTACTACTTTCACTAAGATGAGCTGCCAAAAATGTTTAAATAGTTAGTTAAAAAATCCACCAATAGTGTACCTTAATAGTAATATAATTCATAGTGATTATTTGGTATTGCACAGAGTGTAACATGGAGGACTGATTTGATTGTTAGATACCACAGCAACTATGAGTGAGAAGAATAATGGAGAAACCGAGAAAATATTAGACCCTCCAAGAACATAAAAGAAAAAACATATCATTTAAAATAATGTACTATAAACCAAGAAAAGTTACCCAGTGAGTCCTCCATCCTACGAATAAATGCTAATTGAATTAAAGCTCCTGCACATCATGCCACAAATATTCATCAGTTTCAATTCAGCAACAAGCCAACCAGGAAAACCAGAAGTCCATATCTGTAAAAATTGAAATATGTTCTCTATCCTTTTCTAAAACTGTGAAATCCCAGAGAGCCAGTGGCGAAATGTTCGGAACTCGATGGGGGCTCACTTTTCTACCCTTGTCCACTAAAATAAGAGGCTTTCGTCAGCAACAGGGTATGAACCCATGGCGTCAAAATATGTATTCTATTATCAGAATAGAAAACGGGAAACAGAGAAAATCCAAAGTTTAAGCAAATTCATAAATTTCTTTTTGAAGGAAAAGACCACAAAAGGTATGGTCAAGGACCAGAAAGATAACTTTTACTTCCTCCAGCATTTTAAGTTGAAAAACGAATTATATGGTTGTCCACGCTCCTGAAAAACGAAATGAAAGAAACCAGCATGTATCTTTACCAAAGATTCATCCAATATCTGACGGTTCATGCTCCTACAAGTTTCTTAAATGCTTTCTTTTATAATTGTCTCTGTTGTGCTTATGTTTTATTGTCCAGGACTCTCATTTTCTAATCAAGTTAATAGTTAATGATAGCAAAGCTTATTGTGTTGTGTCATTTAATCCATGAACAAAAAAGAATGAAATTTTGATCATACTGTAAGCTTCAGAAATCAATGGTATTCATCTCATAAAAGCACCAATTCAGTTTTGCATTACCTCACCCTTATTAATAAGAACCTTATATTAATCAACGGACGTTCATAAACACAAGAAGTACTGGTGATTATACTAGAGAATTATGGTTTCGGGGGATGATCTAAAGTTAAAAGAACTCCCTTGAACTAACTGTAAGACATTACAGCTTCACAGGGGGAATAATACTAATTGCCTTATTCCTTCTACACCATAATCTGAACCAAAATCAGAAAGCAATGAAGCTAATCAAAAGTAAACTTCCCCTCAAACCCAATTAAATATTTGCAAATTCATAGTTTTAAATAAGAACCTAGCCATCTGTTATTATCTTTTGTTATCCTTTACAGAACAACTACCAATTTTCCCAGCTTAAGTGAAGTCAGTTCATTCAAAACATCCCTATAATACCATTACTTCAACCACACTCATAAATCAACTGTTCCACCATGCCATACAAACAATTCACACTAAAATCTTATCTTTACTAAACAATCAGCATTTCCTTTTTTTTTTCTTTTTCTCCTTAAAATACCAATCAAAAAATGATGATAGAGTATCAAACTCCCCAAAACAAACCAGAAAAATCCACTTCAAAATGTAAATTCAGAAGAAAAAAAAAATACCATCCTAATCAAGAATGATCATCACAGATCAAACCCCATGTACCCCCTCCACCACCCCACCCCTAAAGATTCAATCTTTAAAGTTTAAACCTCCATTTCCAAAACAAACACACATATGTATCACCATTTAAATTTTTTCCCTTTTTTTCCACATGGGGTTTTTAATTAGTCCAGATTAACTCCAATCCAATCAAGTAATCAACACCACTGATGATTACTATGATCGAAACGGCAAATGCCGGAGGAGACAAATCAAAAAATTAAAAAAAAAAACGACACATTCAACAGAAACATACAAAAATATAAATTGCATATATAAAAGAAATTTCACCGAGAATCATTCCACAGGTGACAAGTGTAAGCAGCCCGAAAACAATTCTCATCGTTGTCCCCATCTTTTAATGCAAAAATTTCCACTTCCGTAGAAATCTGAACTGAAAAATAGAGAAATTAGTTGTTTTGGTTTTCAATTTTGATTTTAGAAAATTGTCGATTGGACTGTTTTGGGAGTATTTGTAAAGTGAAGAAATGGTAGAACCAAGAGAGACGTTTTGCAATTTTTCAATACAGATATATTGTACATTGTGCATTGATGTTTGTACGTCAACTTTTGTAGTCCATAGATTTGGCTCTAGTCATGGTTTTTGTGTTGGATTTTGATTTAAAAAGTATATAAGATATCAATTTAATGATTATTATGTATATATAAAAATAAGAAATGTGTTTGTTATTCAATTTAACTAACAAAATAAAAAGAGTGTGATTGTTTAAAAATGGCAAATATCAGTAATCATTTCTTCTAAAAGTTACAACTTATGACCATTCATCATTTATTAATAATTAAAAAATTTAATAATTTACATGATATATCATATACATGAATATCATGTAAATAATATTTAAGACACCATATTACATCTCATACATTTATTAATTAATAATTTATAATATAACAAATTAATTACGAGTGATAATAGATTTGAATTAATTAATATTAAATTAATATATCATGTAAATAATACTTAAGACACCATATTGCATCTTATACATTTATTAATTCATAATTTATAATATAACAAATTAATTACGAGTGATAATAGATTTGAATTAATTAATATTAAATTAATTAATTTTCTTTTAATATTATTTATGCATGTAAGAGAGTTAAAAAAGAAAGTAGATTTTACGTTTAACAAATATAAAAATTATATTTATATGTTATAGTTATAATTTGTATAGTTGTGTTTCATAACATAAAACGTTTGTTATGACTATTAATATATATATTTCGTATACATATACATAAAAATCTATAGCTAATATATTTTGGTAGACTTATACATAAAAATTTGTCATGTCTTGATGTGTGTATATTTGGGTAATCTGTAAATTGATCTATATACCTAGTAATTTATATAAACAAAAGTACTACATACATACATAAATAGATTATACAAATATGTCTTAGTTATGTATAACTATGAAAAATTTACAAACAACAAACTGAATTTGTATAACCAAATTAAAAAATAGTAATTGTATATAAACAAAATTACACATAGGTTGTATACCGAATAGGTAATTATATACCGAATGGGTTCCACCAGATGACAAAAAACATGAAATGGTTGTTGCGAATTACAAATAAAAGAAACTACGGATATAACATTAAATTTGAATAAATAGTCTGTTAATTCATACATTTCTTCGTTTCGATTAGTGTATTATTCTGTTTTGCTCCGTTGTGGTAGATTTATACTATCTTCTTGTGATGTTCTATATTTTCTATTGATGAGATTGCTTCCAAAAGAGAGAAATGCATGGTAACACAACTGATGAATCACATAGACCTGATGGGATAATGCAAAGGGAACTACTGATGATAAAAAAAACTGAAGCAGAATCAGATGAACCTGGTTATTACATTGGGGCCACAAACAGACCTGATGCTATTGACTGTGAATACACCTGCAAGGATGCAGATTTTGTCTGTGCTTACTCGTAACCCAGGATTTGTTGGAGGATGTTACCTGAAATTTGGAGATGTCTTAAATGCTTTTATTTAAGCTCCCAGACCCCACTTGTGGGATTATGTGTGTTTTCTTTAGCAAGCAGACCTCGGTTTGTATCGTTCCAATTAAAAGAGATGTTCATGGGGAGTGGACTTGGAAACAGGATGCGGTAAAACATTTCATTGCCAAGGCTGAAGCTGGAGCAAATTTTATACACATTGCAAATTTCTATTTTCCTAATGACTGAGGCATGACAAGTTTTCTCATTTACTGATGATCTCCATCCAGGGACCTGAGGTTCTGAACAAGTTACTTGGTCAAAGTGAGCTAAATATTGGAGTACAATGCAACAACATGTTCTTTTCGATGAGGTGTTTGTCTCTCTTTTCCAACTTAAATACTCTTACGTCTTTTCATTTCAATGCGTCGGTCCACCTTTAAAAGCACTGCAGAAGCTTTGAATTTTTTACGTGCACCTGTAAGATGCTTACATACTACGTTCAGTAGGAAAGATTGTTTTACAAGTACCCTAAATTGTTAATGATAACATAGAAACTTTCCGGATATTAGATGCTTTGCTGCCAGAAAGTCTAATGCATAGTGTACAGTGTTGAGACACGAGTACTAAATTTGGTAGTGACATGAAAATAGTATAAAATAGCTTTTGTGAAAAACAGATGATTGCATTTCTTTCATATTTCTACAGATTGACAACTGACCGCGACTATGATGGACATATCTTCTTGACAAACGATGCTCTTCTTAACCTTTGCTAATGTGAAACTTCTCGAATTATTGCAGCTACTAACACAACTAGACAGTAGTACTCTGCATTTGGGTGATAGGATCCTATTTTACTTGTATTTATTTAATGCATTTGTTTCAGTTTATTCACAATTAGTTAGAGGTACTTTTTTCCATTAATTAGTTACAATTAACCTGTCCATTAGTTAGTTACAACTACAACTAACTTTCCCTCCATATTAGTTGAAGTCTAATTTGCTCTCACAAGTCCTAATTTATCAACCTGAATCCCAAATATAGTTTCTTAATTCGCTGCTTTGCCCATACCCCGTTCCTAATAACATTAACGTTATCATCAATTAGTGATCTGGAATAATAATATTATTAACGTTACTATCTATCAACACAAAATTAGTGATTTAGCTAAATGTTTGCAGCAAAAAGAAACATGCTAATATTTTATTTAGATGACAACGACAATAATAAGAAGAAGAAAATCCAGTGTAATCAACAACTTAGTGTTAACTATACTGGCTAGAGAGGCTAATAACATGAAACATTAACGAGGGCAAAACACAAGGTTTCACCCTTTCGGAATGCCCACAATTGCATCTTCATACCATGGCTCAAACGATTCCTTGTTACGACATCATTCCAGTGTTTAACCAACACATAACTACAACTTGCTTTCCCATTGTTTTTGTTCATTGTCCCTTTTCTCAGATTTATTTCACCTTTTAATCAACATCACATTCATCTCACGCATTTTATTATTAGCCTGATTGCGCTCATTCAAAAGTTGCTCTTCGTTAGGCGTTAGAAACTGATTAAGTATCTGTTTTTGCGGGATCGAAAATCTTCCCTCTGCTGCTGTAACATCGGTCACAAATAGTGTTTTTTCAATGACCAATTTAGCTGATTCAAGTGAACCCCCATACAATGTAATCAGATTCTTGAATTCGATACTCAATTCTCCTCTGTTGACTATAACAGCAGCAGGAGGAGGAGGGGCCACGACCATGACTACAACTCGATCAACTCGTGATCTTTTTCCGCTAAAGGGCAATGGTGAAGAATTACTATAGTTGATTCTGATTCCTCTGTTTTCCCTATTATCAGCCACCGCCTTTTCTCTGTTTTTATCAACTTGTACTAGTCTGTTTTCTTCGTCAGAATGATTCTCGGGAGCTCTGTTTGGCCTTGATCGTTTTCCCTTTGGGACATCGAAATCAAAAACTCTTGATCAACAACATGTGGATATGACCGAATATTCTGAGTGATCCTTTCGTCTTTCTTCATACCAAATTCTTCATCTTGCTCCATAAATGGATTTTAAGTAAGACACTTCAGATACAGTAAGTAAATAATCCACACTAGTCATGTCCGGCATGATTTTCATGCCAGAAAAATCGTCTAAACTCAACAATGTGTAAACCATATTGAATGTTAGTCGAAGAGAGAGAGAAATAGTCGTATTAGTATGATTGTGATTAAGGAGAAAGTGTTAAATTTATATAATTGGGTAGAAATCACAACCTTAATAGTTTTGGTTTTCTACAAAGGTTGTTAAGTAAATAAAGTTCTAATGTAACTAGTATTACTAATCCTACTAAAAAAAGAGAAGCAAACTCTTAATTACTTCTAGTTCATTATAACTAACTAACATCAGAAAAGGGGAAAATTACCTTTTTTACTTTTTAACCTTTTGGTAAGGATATCAGGAGGCTGCTCCTTAATGTTAATCGATATCTCGGTTTTCACTTTGTAATTTTTTCGTTATGAAATGAAAATCTATTTTAATGTGTTCCGTCCTTTTATAAAATATTGAATTTGGCCAAATTATTAAAAATCGAGGGAAAGACCTTATTAACAAATAACAAAGTAAAAGTTTGTACTCAAACCAATTAAACTAATTTCTGTTAATTTTTTTCCCTTTGCTTTAACTAAAGAATAATTTTGTTTTAGAATTTCCAAATATTTTTTCTATTACAAATCAACAAAATGACTCCATTTTAACCATTGCTGCTAAGTGTGTTTTTATTTTATTATTTTACAAGATCAACTCTCTCTTTCTCAATACAACTTTGATTGAAAAAAATAATTTTTTCAAATCTTTTATAGGTAAAAAGATAAAGATTTCACGTAAAAAAGACATAAACTAAAAATAAATAAATTAAAGGACCATTGTTTAAAGTTTCCCTTATTTAATAAAATGAGAAAATTTCTAAAAAGAGTAAACTTAATAAGCCCTTTTAGCTACTCTTTCTTTAATTACGGCATAATTTTGTTTGATATAAATAACTTTTTATAATTTGTTTGTCAATATATATAAACATGGTAAATATATACAAATTATGTATCTATATAGTCGGTTGGTCCTGACGGTCATTCTGACCCATTTTCAAGGTCAAACAAGCCTCGAAGCGCGCATACCCTCACTTTCGACGATTTTTGTGTGCTATAGCAAACCATATTTTGGGTGATCCGAATTCCAATGTCAAAAATGCAAAAAAAAATTGTGGATGTCTGTCAAGACCTTGGCTATGCATCCGGTTGGCCCTCACAGCCACTTCGATCCATTTTCAAGGTCAAACGAGCTCCGAAGCGCGCATACCCTCTATTTCGATGATTTTCGTGTGCTATTGCAAACTATTTTTTGGATGTCCGGATTACGACGTCAAAAATGCCAAAAATTATTGTGGACATCTGTCTAGACCTTGGCTATGCATCCGGTTGGCCCTCACGACCAGTCCCACCCATTTTCAAGGTCAAACATGCCCCTAAGCGCGCATACCTTCTATTTCGATGATTTTCGTGTGTTATAGCAAACCATATTTTTGGTGATCCGGATTCTAAAGTCAAAAATGTCAAAATTGTTTGTGGACGTCCATCAAGACATTGGCTATGCAACCGGTTGGCCCTCACGGCCAGTCCAGCCCATTTTCAAGGTCAAACGAGCCCTAAAGCGCGCATACCCCCCATTTCGATGATTTTCATGTGCTATAACAAACAATTTTTTTGGGTGATCCGGATTTCGACGTCAAATATACCAAAATATTTTTGTGGATGTTTTTCAAGACCTTGGCTATGGAACCGGTTGGCCCTCATGGCCAGTCCGACCCAATTTCAAGGTGAAACGAGCCCCGAATCGCGCATACCCCCATTTTAAAGATTTTCGTGTGCAATAGCAAACCACTTTTTGTGTGATCCGGATTCCAATGTCAAAAAGGCCAAAAATTTTTGTGGATGCCCGTCAAGACCTTAATTATGCATCCGGTTGGACCTCACGGCCAGCCCGACCCATTTTCAAGGTCAAACGAGCCCCGAAATGCGTATACCCTCACTTTGGACGATTTTCGTGTGCTATATCAAAACAATTTTTTGGGTGATCCAGATTACGACGTAAAAAATACCAAATTTTTTGTGAACGTCCTTCAAAACTATGGCTATGAAGATGGTTGGAACTCACAGCCAGTCCGACCCATTTTCAAGGTCAAAACAAGCACCGAAGCGCGCATATCCTCACTTTCGACGATTTTCGTGTGCTATAGCAAATCATTTTTTGGGTGATCCGGATTTCAACGTCAAAAATGCCACAATTTTTTGTGGATGTCTATCAAGACCTTGGCTATGCTGCTGGTTGTCCCTCACGGCCATTCCGATCCATTTTCAAGGTCAAACAAGCCCCGAAGCGCGCATACCCCCCATTTCGACGATTATCATATGCTACAACAAACCATTTTTTAGGTGATCCAGATTCCGACGTCAAAAATGCCAAAAGCTTTTGTTGACGACCGTCAAGACCTTGTATATGCATCCGGTTTGACCTCACGGCCAGTCCGACCCATTTTCAAGGTCATACGAGCCCTGAAGCGCGCATACCCTCACTTTCGACGATTTTCGTGTGCTATAGAAAATCATTTTTGGGAATCCGAATTTCAACGTAAAAAATGTCAAATTTATTTGTTGACGTCGGTCAAGACCTTGTCTATGAAGCCGCTTAGACCTGACGGCCAGTCCGATCCATTATCAAGGTCAAATGATCCCTGAAGGGCGCATACCCCCCATTTCGACAATTTTTGTGGGCTATAGCAAACCATTTTTTGGGTGATCCGGATACCAACGGCAAAAATGCCAAAAGTTTTTGTGGACGTTCCTTAAGACATTGGCTATGCATCCGATTTGACCTCACGGCCAGTCCGACCCATTTTCAAGGTCAAACGAGCCCCGAAGCGTGCATACCCTCAATTTCGACGATTATCTTATGCTATAACAAACCATTTTTTGGGTGATCCGGATTCTGATGTCAAAAATGCCAAAAGCTTTCGTGGACGTCCTTCAAGACCTTGGCTATGCATCCGGTTGAACCTCACGGCCAGTTCAACTCATTTTCAAGGTCAAACAAGCCTCGAAGCGCGCATACCCTCACTTTAGATGATTTTCGTGTGCTATAGAAAACCATTTTTTTGGGTGATTCAAATTTCAACGTCAAAAATGTCAAAATTATTTGTGGACATCCGTCAAGACCTTGGCTATGCAGCTGCTTGGCCTTGATGGCTAGTCCGACCCATTTTCAAGGTCAAACGATCCTCGAAGCGTGCATACCCTTCATTTCGATGATTTTCGTGTGCTATAGCAAACCATTTTTGGGTGATCCGAATTTCGACGTCAAAAATGCTGAAATTTTTTGTGGACATCCGTCAACACCTTGGATATGCAGCAGGTTGTCCCTCACGGCCACTCCGACCCATTTTAAAGGCCAAAAAAGCCCTGAAGCGCATACCCCCCATTTCGATGATTTTCTTGTGCTATAGCAAACCATATTTTGGGTTATCCGGATTCCGATGTCAAAAATGCTAAAAAACTTTGTGGACGTCCGTCAAGACTTTGGCTATGCATCCGGCTGACCCTCACGGCCAGTCCAACCCATTTTCAAGGTCAAACGAGCTTCAAAGCGCGCATACCCTCTATTTCGAAGATTTTCTTGTGCTATAGCAAATATTTTTTTTGGATGATCCGGATTCCGACGTCAAAAATACAATTATTTGTGGATGTCCGTCAAGACCTTTTATATGCAGTCGGTTGTGCCTCATGGTCAGTCCATCCCATTTTCAAGGTCAAACGAACCCGAAGCACGTATATCTCCCATTTCAACGATTTTCATGTGCTATAGCAAAAAAAAATTTGGGTGATCTTGATTCCAATGTTAAAAATGTTGAAATTTTTTGTGGATGTCCGTCAATACCTTGAATATGCAGTTGGTTGGCCCTCACGGTCTGTCCGACCCATTTTCAAGGTCAGATGAGCCCCGAAGCGCGCATACCCCCCATTTCGACGATTTTAGTGTGCTATAACAAACCATTTTTTGGGTGATCCGGATTCCAATGTCAAAAATGCCAAAAGTTTTTGTGGACTTTCTTCAAGACCTTGGATATTAATTCGGTTAGCCCTCACGGCCAGTCCGACCCATTTTTAAGGTTAATTGAGCCTCAAAGCGCGCATACCCTCTATTTCAACGATTTTCGTGTGCTATAGCAAATCATTTTTTGGGTGATCCGGATTCCGATGTCAAAAATGCCAAAAAAATTTATGGACGTCCGTCAAGACCTTAGCTATGCATACGATTGGACCTCACGGCCAGTCCGACCTATTTTCAAGGTCAAATGAGCCTCGAAATGCGCATACCCTCACTTTGGACGATTTTCGTGTGCTATAGCAAACCATTTTTTGGGTGATCCGGATTTCGACATAAACAATGCCAAAATTTTTGTGGACGTCCATCAAGATGTTGGCTATGCAGCTGGTTGCCTCTCACGTCCAGTCCTACCCATTTTTAAGGTCAAACGAGCCTCGAAGTCGCATACCCTCACTTTCGACAATTATCGTGTGCTATAGCAAATCATTTTTTGGGTGATCCGGATTTCAACGTCAAAAATGCCAAAAAATTTTGTGAATGTCCGTCAAGACCTTGGCTATGCAGCTGGTTGTCCCTCACGGCCATTCAAACCCATTTTCAAGGTCAAACGAGCCCCGAAGCGAGAGAATGTCACTATCTTATGTGAGGTGGGGGCAGGTAAAAACGGAAATAAAGGATTTTGATGGACTTGGACTTAGGATTTTAATAGTTGGGCTAAAATTTAAGTGTCGAGTTTGAAAAAATGATAAAGTTAAAGATATAAGTTAATTAGAATTTAACAAAATATTTTTAATTCATTTATAAATAATATATAAATAATTATAAATTTTATATATCTAATTTGTAGGTTCGATTTGGTTATTTTTGCGGTTGTTTTTAGTAAAACCATAAATCAAACTGAAATACCCCTAACTTAAAACTACAGAGGGGCTGACCATTGCCATCTTCACCATCGTGAAAGGGACCACGAACCGTGAAGTCGGTCCTCGTCTGGACTTGGTCTAGGAATTGAGGGCCTCTGGTTCATGAGCCCTTACCACCGACCGTGAAAGTCCCCGTGATCTTTACTTGGGCTGAGGTCTGGAGCTTAGGTTTGGGAGTTTACTTGTTAGACTTCATGAATGCCTCCATGACCCGTATAGAGGATCACGAATCGTGAAGGTGCTCGTGATCTTCACTTGGGCAAGGGGGTATGAGGGGCTTGGCTAGGAGGAGTATACTGTCTCGACCTCACGAACGCCTCCATGTCCCGTCTTTAGGACCACGGACCGTGAAGGTCCCCCTGGTTCTTACTTGGGCGAGAGGGGTGCGAGGTTGGGTTTGGTGGTCTACTGGTTAGCCTCCCACGGATGCCACCACGACCCGTTGTGAGGACCACGAACCGTGATGGCTCCCATGGTCCTTACTTGGGCAAGGGGATCCGCCTGTGCTGCTAAGGGCTGCGTCCACGGGCAAGTCAACGGACTATGAACCTATCACGATCCGTGAACCTTGCCATGGTTCATTGGTTCAGGTAAATTCTGTAATTTTTTCCTGAATATGATTTTTGAGGTATTACATTTTTGAAATAGTTATTTATTATTAAAATTACAAAAATAAAACTTATTGTGACTTTTCATATCATAAAATGAAATCCAGAAATCCAAATCTTAGAAAACACAAACTAGTAAAGAAAAAAATACAAGACTGTACAGAAAATAGAGTATATAGAAATAATAGGAATAGGAACAAAAAATCCCCCAACTCCAAAGAAGAAGAAGGAGGAGTTGTTTGTACCTTGGATCTCCAGCCATGGTATGCTAGATCTCTTCTTTTCAACAAAACCCAAAACCCATTTTCTCTTTTTATCTTTTTTTTTTCAATGTTTTCGTGTTTGATCTGGTGAATGATTGTTACAATTGATGCTTGATTAAAGATATATTTGTAAAAAGTTAAATATGGGTATTGTTTGATTAGTTACATTTGTTCTATACGATTTGGGATTTGAATCTGATTCCGGATCTTGCTATGGAAATGTAAACCAAATGTTTGAATATTATCTAGGTTTTCTTTAAATTGATTGTTTCTAGCTCAAATGAGGAGTTGGAGTTCTATGGATCATATTTAATTTCTCTAAAGGGGTCTCAAAGATTTGGTGTATATTTCCTTTTATAATGGTTGATAGTAGACGAGGGATTGGATTTTTGTGAAATGTAAGAGAAATCTGGATTTGATGAAGGAATTCTTAAGCGTGATAGATTGTGTGTAATTGGATAGAGAAAGTGATGAGCTTTATGGGTATTATTACTTTTTTGGTTGAAGGATTGAGTTTTGAGGCTTTGAAAGTGAAATGATCGAGCTAATACATGTTATTTGTATTTCTGTATGTGGGTATTTGAGAATCAATTGATGTTTGAAACCTGTAGAAGTTTGGTATTAGGGAGAGGGATGTAGTGCTTAGTTGATGAGGGTACCTGAAGGAAAGCTGTGAGTAGTCCATATATAGAATCAAAATGCTTTGGCCTGTAGCAGTCAGAGGAACCGGGGAGAATTTTAGAGTGTGTGGGATACTGTTTTTGTTCTGGAATTTATGTTGGTGTTGACGATGAATAGGATGAGTAGTATAAGAGGAACCAGTTCGTTGTTGCAATAGATTGAGTATGCATAAATTACTTACTTTTTCAACATTTATATTATGCACTCGAATCATTCTATAATCAATGAATTTTGGAAAGAAAAATCAACATCTAAACTCAGAGGTATGTATACAACTTGGTGATTGACTTTGTATCTTAGCATTAGTCCACCAAATTTGTAAAACCTAACCTTCATCTGAATGCAAAATCCAGCCATTTAGTATTGGGAAACTAAGAAGATAAATTGGACATTCAACTAATAAAGAGCATAAGTTAAAAAAACAAAAGATATCCCACTAACCAAGAAAAGGATGCATCTATCACTCTATTACTATAGCACTTCACTGGTCAAACTTCGCCGCGGATAAAACCATGGTATTCAAGTAGAGAAGTGTAGAAAGGCAGGCCCATTGTCCACTGAGTTTCAGATCGTATGTCACAAGTTCTTGGGGATCTTCCTATTGTAAAAAGAATTTTAAAAGACTACAAACAAAGTGGATATTACACGACTTTGAGAAAAACAAAACGATAATGGGACTAATTATTTTTGGCTGATAATCTTTTTTACTTGTTTCAATTGCTCTTTTTAACAGCTTCACTGGATGCATATGCTATGTTTTCTACTACAGTATATATCAACCGCAGTATAGCTAATAGCTTTTGATTTCTTCCAGATTCATTTTGTTCTGCTCATTAGCCGACAGGGAAAGGTGAGGCTAACCAAGTGGTATTCACCATATTCACAAAAAGAGAGAACCAAGGTATTTCTTCTATGCTTCTTGAGATAGGATGCAATGAATATCATATGGTTTTTATTTTTTGAAGTGGTCTTAGGGTGTCTGTTTGATTTATTCAACAGAACTGTTTGTATGTGTTACTCAGTCTAGTGATTTTTATTGAGATCTCAAAGACGATGTATTTATCAATATGATTTAGGGGTAACAATGTGGTGGAGACGCCCACTGCCCACTTCAATATATCTTTCACTAGTTCGGTTTTTTTTCAATATGATAAGTAAATGCCTTTTCCTACTTCCTCAAGAAAATTATTGCAGTAGCTGTTTTACTTGTTATTCCTCAACAATCTTCAGCTACTAAGTGGCAGATATGAGTGGGAAATCTTATTCTCTTTGGGGTTTAAGCTTCCTTATACCCTGGACTATAGGAAAAATTGGGAGCTATATACATGGAAAATACATGGTGTTGCAGTATGACAGACTGGTCTGCGATATGCATAGAAATGCATGGTGTTGCACTATGACAGACTGATTTGCAATATCCATAGAAATGCATAGTATTGCATTAATTTATGAAAGAGACTGGTTTGTTCTTATCAAAAGAGAGAGATAGAGATAGAGAGGGACTTGTTGGATATCAAAATTGAGAATTCATCTTGTCAATCCTCGCGACATTAAAAGAATTTTCTTGCAAACTATGGAAAATTAAAATATAAAAAAAGAGAAATATGAAAAGCCAAAGAAGGCTTATACCTTCAAGTAGTTCCAATATAAGATAGAATCATGTACTAAGAGAGGGTACAAAGAGCACTTTCCAGGGCTTAAGTCAAGTAGCAAAGTCAAGCGGCTTGTGACTTAGGTCACATGATTGAACCATGCGCCATGTGATCTAAGCCTGGTATTTAAATGAAGAAGGGACGAGGGGTGGGCCATTATCTCTGAGTTGTGAAGGTTGCGGTTGCTCCTAAGGGCTGGACTTTAACAGATTTCTCAGTCATGAAAGAAAAAGAGAGGGTTTAAAGAGCCCGAAGAGATGTTCTGAAGATAGGTGTAAAAATATGAAGCTTTCATACCCGAAAGGTAAGATAAAGAAATTACATTAGGTATGGTGTAAAGCTTAATTGCTTTCTTTGTCTTTATTGTTTTCCAGTATTATCTGTGTTATTTTTCTTCGCTGCCAAGGTGAATGGGTTTTGCAATTTTTTCAAGCCATTAAATAGTAGAGGGATGTGAATAATTATTCCACTTTCTTACATACACAGGATTTTTCATTCCTGCAAACATCTTATAGTACTGGTTATGCAAAAAATTATTTTCCTTTAGTTTATAAGTAACATGTTACATGTCAATGCAACTGTCTTAAGGTAATCCGTGAATTAAGTGGTATGATTCTCACTCGAGGACCGAAGCTTTGCAATTTTGTCGAGTGGAGAGGATACAAAGTCGTTTATAAAAGGTAAAGGTGATCTAATTTTATTCTCAAGCCACGTCTTATGATTTGCTCTCAATTAGATAGAATCTATTTATCTTTTCTTTTTTGAGAAGAATCTATTCATCTTTTTTCCCTGTAAGAAAATATACGTTCCACTTTTCTTATCGGCTGTTAATTTAACAGATATGCAAGCCTGTATTTCTGTATGTGCATAGACCAAGAGGACAATGAGTTGGAGGTCCTGGAAATCATACACCATTTTGTTGAGATTCTGGACCGATACTTTGGAAGTGTAAGGCTCTCAAACTCTAAAGAAGATGGTATTACAACTTGTTCTGTTTTATATTTATGTTGTTGGCTTTCTTTCCCTTCAGGTATGTGAGCTAGACTTAATTTTCAATTTTCACAAGGTATGTTCATTAAATTTATTCAGGGATTTCTACAATCTATGCCTCCACCTGTCACCTTTGCCTAAATTTACTGTTTTTCCTTGTGGATGTTACAATAATTGGGTGGTGACATTAAGATCACTTCTTGGGGCTTATATAGATTCGTACTAGAGGTTATTTATAGAGGTTAATTTTTTTTGATAAGAAATAGAGGTTAAATTTTTAAGTAACTAGAAACAGACCTATTTTAAAAACATTTTCCATTGAACTTTGAGTAGACTACAATTACAGTTCTATCTTTTTACCCTTGGTCTCTGCAACCCTGCTTGATCTCAGACAGAACTGTTGAAACATCTTTATAATGAAAGTCCAAAGTGAAAATCATTACACCCAAAAGCGTTTAGATGGCTAGATGGGTTGGAGAAAGCAAACAATACCTTGCCAGTACCATCCGTAGTATGATGGTAGAATCGCTGAGTAACCGAGTCCTTAAAGGGGGTGGGCTTAATAGCCCATGGAAAATTCCACATCAAAATAAGGGGAGAAGGAGCCTTATAAGGGTGAGTTCAGGATTCAACTGTTGAGACATCTTCTTTGTTAAAGGACAAGGCTACAAAAAACCATGAGGTGTTGAGTAACTAGTTAAACTAGCTTAATGTTACTACAAAAACCAATGAATGCTATTCTGATTGACTTGTTTTTTGGATAGTATATTCCGTGCTGATTGAACTTGCCTCTAAATGACTAGTTGTGTTTTCATGTATCATGCATTTTCATATAAACAACTTTTGAGATTATAGCTCTTCGAAACCATGTGAATGATTTGGCAGGCATACTATATATTGGACGAACTTGTGATTGCTGGTGAACTCCAAGAATCAAGCAAGAAAACAGTTGCACGTCTAATTGCTGCACAGGTATTCTTCATTATACAGTTGATGCATTTCACAGATAACAATGCAGTATTCTTCACTGATCTCCTGAGAACAACTTGCAGGATTCTTTGGTTGAGGCTGCCAAAGAAGAGGCAAGTTCTCTTAGTAACATCATTGCACAGGCTACTAAATGAGAGTATGCAGGCAGCGTTCAAGTGTTTTGAGTGCATTTATGTTTTTCAGCTGTAATCCAAACATTATTTCTTCTTTCAATGTTTTCGTTTAACTTTGTAGTTATAAATAGGAATTTCTTTGTAGTAATGAGTTTTCTTCTCAACCTAAGCGTGGTGTTTACTTCACTCTGTTGCCTAAAAACTGCTGGTCATATATATAGTACTTGTTCCTCTGGTGGAGCTAGCTTATAACGCATCTCTCAAAACCTAATTTTGACTTGTTTTTACGGTTGGAGGAGGGATGTTTCCGTAGGCGAAAGAGGGGCGTTTGGAACAACAACATTCTAGTAAGGGCAATGAAGAAAAATATTTCATTTAGTGTAGCTTTTTTCATGCTTTATCAGCGATCCCAACTACACTACATTTATTGGTATGAGCAAAATAGACATGTAATCCATAAAAGAGAATATAGCCCATATATACATACTCCTAAGATTTCCAATCATTTGTAGATTCCAAAAGACGCAAGCAATTCTGTAGAAAAAACTGGCAATTAAAACAGAAACAATCTATTTGCCATAAAATGCAAACTGAATTTGAGTAAACTACAAAGCTATCTATGACATTCACCTTTCAGAGCTAAATCTCTAGAAGCTTCATTGGCTTCTTCGTAGATATGGCAAACTACACAAGCTATATGTTTCAGCATGTCGAAAATTTCTCCCAACCAGCGCATGGCTGTGTCATTTGGCTCAGGGAGACCATTAACATAGTGGACAAGTATAACATTGTCGGACTCCACAATCAACTTTGGCGCATTTGGCCTTCCTTCCATGCATCCTGCCAACCCAATCCTCAAGGCCTCTAGTCCAGCAATCACATTGTCTTCAACATCAATGTCACCCCTATACCTATCAAAACACTTCCCTTTTTCATCTTGGAAGATGCCACTATATCGTCCTGGCTGATCACTCTTTCTACCAATACCATAGATGTTTAGCTTAATGCAACCTGGAGGAGGAGGTACATTTTTGCATCTTAAACGCCGAGCCCCACGAAAATCAATCCAAATTTGTGCAAAATCCTCACTAGTCATATTACTTCTCATATTTTCCAAAAATCCTTCTTCAAGATGCCTGCGACACAAAAGTTGAAAGTTACATCATCAGGGATATATAAAGTACACCTTACCCTCCTATGGTTCCTTCAACTCACCTCTATCACACTATACTTCCTCCAAGCAAATAATTTCAAAGTACTTTGCATAATTCAACCAACAAAATCTAGATTTTCCAACTAGCACTTAAATCAATCACTTGTAAAGCCCATATTATCACGAGGAGAAAGAAATGGAACAATCATAGGTGGACAGAAAGTAAAGAGCTAATGATTTCAATTGTGTGCTAACTGGCAGCACCTTTTTTCCCAAATTAACATAATAAATAGAGAATCATATTTATACTAAATGAGAAGTTCTGTATCTAGTTTCACATCTAAGTACCTTTGCATGTCCAACCAATAGCATCCCGGTTTGTCAATGTCATTGTTAGGATCCACGTCAAAGAAATGCCAGGCAAATCCTGAGAACAGATTAGCATACTTCTGATTGCCACTAGTTTCTATGGTAACCTCTGTTGTGAAGTCCAGAATTCTCTCTAAGCGTATCACTGTTTCTAGAGAAGTGCTACATCGAGGCGCATTGGTCAGTGTGTAGCTAAATGAGTTTGTCAGCACAAAAATCTTGTTAAGACAAGATGAAGACCAGTTTGCTCCCAAGAGGTTTCCAATAAGATACCAACAAGGATTAGGCATGTAGAACATTGTTGGTCTCTGAGCTCTCCTCTTACAATTTTCATCATTGGTGAGAACCTCAAGACCTAGTTTCTCGAAAAATATGATATCAGCCGCAGACATGCAGGGATCGTATATTTCTATATTGCCAATCCAATTGGGAAAATCTCGTTTTAGTAGGAGAACTACAGCAAGCTGAAACTGTGAACTAAAACTGTATTCGGTGCTTCCCAAACCATAGATTACCACCTGAACATGTGAATGGCCACCTAAAAGACGAAAGAAGTGTTTTTGAATTGTTTTATTCTGTTTGAGATTCAAGCACATTCCAGCATAGAGCTCAGAGTTCTCAACATTCTTCTTCACCAGTTCAATCTCTTTAAGCATCCTTTTTGCCTCATCATTTATGTGAAAATCAACATTTGACTCCATATCCTCACCAAAATCCATCTTTATCAGGTCCAAATTAATGTTGGCCTTGAGCAGTTTAAACACTATTTAGAAACAGCTAAAACACAGCAACGCTCTCTTGTGTTCTGAACTTAATACAAGCCTGCAATCTAGAATTTTAAGTACAAATCATTAGCAAGCAGAAGTTCTTCACAGCAAAAAAGATGCATTTCTCATTATATGCAAGTGTAGTACACGGAAGTACAGAACGGCTAGCAAGCGGAAAGTAGCTTATCTCCTATCAAAACATATTTCTCCAAATTTTTAGAGTATACTTGCTGCGCATAAAATGACACGTGTTTGAAGCCACGATATTACAAGAAACAACTCTACTGACATCTATAAGTTGGTCAATTGTGATTTAAAAATTGAAACGAGAGGTAAGAGGAATATGAACATACCCTCCTTGTTTAATCCATTTAGAACCAATCACCAAGAACTTGCAACCACTCGAGTACAAATACAAGCTCTTCTAAACTCAATTCTTCCATGTAGGTGTGTTTCAGTAGCCTACTTCGACTACCAGTACAAATTCACAAAGAACAATACAAAATTGAGATCCTGAAAGTGCCAAATCACAGATCTAATTTTTAAAAAAAAGTGAATCATGTTCTTTTCTCTCTCCAGATTTCCCTCTTTCCTGTAAAACTGAGTGTGTATCTATTTCATCTGGATAACAAGCATTTCAACTAGAGCAAATTAAAACAGTTTTTCTTCTGAACTTAAAATTATAGGACGAAAAAATAATATGGAAATGCTAAATCCTTCAGTCGAATTCAAATAAATATTATTACAATGCAATTTAACTGAATCCATAAAAAAATATATATGAAACTTATTATTTTTCTCCAGATTTTCCTCTTTCATGTAAAGTACAACAGAGTCTGTACATGTTTCATCTGGATAACAAGCAGTTCAACAAAGGAACTATTGAACACAGAAAAACTGAAGGACGATGAAAACACACAAGGAAATATTGATCCTTCAGTGGAATTCAAACACTCACTATCACGAAAGAAATTTAACGAAATCCTCAGAGAACACCTACTACAAAATAAAATGAAACGGACTCCGTATTTCTTGTGGATAACAAGCAGTCCAACTTGAGCAAAACAATTGGTCTTCTGGAACAGAAACACAGAAATTATAGGACGACGGGAATGGTAAATCCTTCAATCGAATTCTAACAATCAGTATTAAGAACAGAATATATACAGAACATACACAACAAGAAAAATAAGAGTAAAAAGAGAAGATACTGACAGCAACAAAGTCGGTGAAAATCTGGAAATGGTAGATCCTTCAATCGAGTTGAAACAATTACTATTACTAACAGAAAAAACACATTCGAAGATACTGAGAGCAACAAAGCCGGTGAAAATGGTAGATCCTTCAATCGAGTTGAAACAATTACTATTACTAACAGAAAATGCATTCAAAGATACTGAAAGAACAAAGTCGATGAAACGTACTGTTGCCTCAGTAAACTATCGCCATTGAAGAGCTACCTTGACGATACGAATCCATGCTACGAGAAGGTCGAATTCAACTTCAACAATGGAAATCAATGGAAAAGATATTTTCTGTGCGATGAAACGATTTTGTTGAGTGAGAGAAGACAGTTAAGAGTGATGCTGTGCTCCAAATAAGTTTGCTGCGCGCCTTTGTCTATTTGTGGAGTAGCCTGTCACGTGGCAAGTATTAGGCCTACGAAAGAGTAACTGACGCAAATGCATAATTTTTGACAAAAAAAAAAGAACGTTTCACACACTAATATTAAACATGTGTGAACTAATAATTTGTACATTTAAAAATTATGTAAAAGGAGATAAGTTATATTAATTAATACTATTTTAATAGACATTAAAAGATCTTAACTTATTTGATATGTCACGTGACTTAATAATAATACGAGTGTTCATGATAATTTCACATAAATTTGATATGAGAATATTATGTAGTCATTATGTAATAAGAAGGTTAGTATTAGAAAATAAAAAAGTGATAAATTTATCTTGATTTAGTAGTTAAAAAAGAAAAAAGTAAATAAAATGAAATGTAGAGTGCATCTTCAAGAGATCGAGAATTTGAGATGTAACTGACTTATTTCAAATTTTTACAACTACTATCTTTTTGCGAGTTTTGTAAGAGCATGGGAACCCACAATAGAATACACAATTTTATATAGGCTCCCCTCCCTGAAATCTTTTAACCCAAAAATACATTCAGAAATGTAACTGCATTGTTTATTTGAAAAAAATAATAATGTGGATATAATAGTATAAGGATGTTCCTTATATTTTTCAGATAGTTGAACATTGAAAAGTTTATCATTGAATGGACAGTGAAACTACTAAAAGAGTTTCTGTAATTTTCAACACATGTAAATTGCAATCCATAAAAGAGAAGCAATACTGTAGAAAATACAGTCAAAACAGATAGGCTAACAAGGAAACTCAAGTATCTCCTAAACATTCAAAATCACAATTAAACAAAGTCTAGCAAGTAAATTCAAGTTTCTCCAACCTTTGACAAACTTGATCAACAGAATCATTTTCCCCTAATGCAAATTGAATTTGAAACCGTAGTTCAACTTAGAAAGATTCAGCTTACCCCTATGAGTCAAAAACAAAGCTCTATGCATCACTCAGAGCCAACTTCCTAGCAGCTTCATTGGCTTCTTCATAGATATAGTGAACTGTTGCACAAGTTATATGTTCCAGCAAGACGGAAATTTCCTTCAACTTGTCCATAGCCTTTTTGTTTGGCTCTGGGCGACCATTAACATATTGGACAAGTGTAAGATCATCTGACTCCACAATCAACTTCTCTACATTTGGTTTTCCTTCCACACATCTGGCCAACCCGAGCCTCAAGGCCTCTAGTCCAGCAATCACATTGTCTTCAACATCAAAGACTCCTCTATACCTAACTAAACACGTTCCGTTTTCATCTTGGAAGATGCCACCATATTGTCCTGGCTGATCAACCTCTCTACCAATACCATAGATGTTTAGCTTAGTCCATCCTGGAGGAGGAAGAACGTTGTTGCATCTTAAACGACGAAACCCGCGATAAATACCCCAAATTTCTGCAAATTCCTCACTGGTCATGTTGCCTTTCATATCTTCCAAAAATTCTTCTTCAAGATTCCTGCGACACAGTTAAAAGCTACATCATTAGGGATATATGAAGTACACCATACCCTCCCATGTCCTATGGTTCCTTCAACTCACCTCTATCACACTACAGTTTCCTCAAAGCAAATAATTTCAAAGTACTTAGCATAATCCAACCAACAAAATCTAGATTCTCCAACTAGCATTTAAATCAATCACGTGTAAAGCACATCTTATCACAAGGAGAAGGAACTGGAACAAACATAGGCAGACATAACTTAAAGGGCTACTGACTTCATTGTGCTACTTGCCAGCACCTTTGTTTACCAGAATCAATAAACCAACAATAGAGAACTGAATTCAATAATAATAATTTCTAGTCTCATATCTAAGTACCTTTGAATATCCAGCCAAAACCAGCCCGGTTTGTCAATGTCAATGTTGGGATCCACATCAAAGAAATGCCAGGCAAATCCTGAGAACAAATTAGCATACATCGTATTGTCACTAAGTTTTATTTTAATTTCTGTTGTGAAGGGAAGAATTCTCTCTAAGCGTATCACTGCTTCTAGATTAGGACCACTTCGTGGCGTATCGGTCAGTGTATCGAGAAATGAGTTTGTCAGCAAACAAATCCGGTTTAGACATGATGAAGACCAGTTTGCTCCCAACAGGTTGCCAATATGATAACAATAAGGATCAGGCATATAGAACATTGTTGGTCTCTGAACTCTCCTCTTACAATTTTCATCAATGGTTAGAACCTCAAGATCTAGTTTTTTGAAAACTATGATATCAGCTAGAGACATGTTGGGATCGTATATTACTATACTGTCAATCCAATGAGAACAATCCCGTTTTAGTAGTAGAACAAAAGCAAGATGAAACTGTGAATGGAAACTGTATTCAATGCTTCCCAAACCATAAACTACCACCTGAACATGTGAATGGGAGCCTAAAAGGCGAAAGAAATGTTTTTGAATGGTTTCATTCTGTTTGAGATCCAAGTGCATTCCAGCATAGAACTCAGAGTTCTCAACATTCTTCATCACCAAATCAATCTCTTTAAGCATCCTTTCTGCCTCATCTTGTATGTGAAAATCAACATTTGCCTCCATGTTCTCACCAAAATTCATCTTTACCAGGTTCAAATTAATTTTGGCCTGTAGCAGTTTAAACAATATTTGGAACAGCTAAAATGCAACAACACTCTCGTGTTCTGGACTTAGTACAAACCTGCAATTCAAGAATATAAAGTACAAACTCTTAGCAGGCTGAAGTACTTTACAGCGAAAAAGATGCATTTCTCATTATCTGCAACTGTAGAACTCAAAAGTACAGAACTGCTAGCAGGCTGAAAGTATCTAGTCTCCTAGAAAAACATATTTCTCCAAACCTTTAGAGTATTAATTGTTGCACATCAAAAATGCGGATTTGTTTGAAGCCAAAGATGTATTTCACGATACAACTCAGTTGACATTGCTTCTCTATTATAAGTTGGTTCGGTTGATATAAAAGTGTGCTAAGCGGTATATGAGCATTCCTTCTTTCTTTAATTCATTCAGAACCAATTAATTCTTCCATCTAGGAGTGTTTCAGTCACCTACTTTGACTGCCAGGAAAAATACTTCTGAATTGATGCAGTAATGAAATTGATACTCTGAAGTTTCAAATCACAATCTAATCCAAAGAGAAGAACATGAACTTATTTTCTAAAATTTCCTTTTTCTGTCTAAACTAATAACAAGCAGTTGAACTACAGCAAAATAGTTGCTCTTCTGTACTTAAAATGAAGTGGCAACAAAGGAACTTCTAAACACAGAAAATTTTAGGGCAATGGAAACACATAACAAAACGCTAGATCCTTCAACCAGGTTGAACGATCACTATTTGGAACTGAATTAAACAGAACCCTCACAAAACACATACAACAATTTAGTTTTACAAACTGATGGGAAAAATAAATAAGAACTATTCGAGTATGACCGAGCCTGTATTTCATCTACATAACAAGAAGTTGAACTACAGATAAACAGTTGCTCCTGTGGACTGAAAATGAAGTGGCAACAATAAACTTTTAACCACACACAATTACATAATGGGAAAAAAATTAAGGAAATGCTAGATTCAATCGAATTCAAGCAGTCACTATTTCGAATGTCGTCCACAAAGAACACATACTACAAATTAGTTTTACAACCTATTAGGAAAAAATAAATATGAAAATCAAGAGTAAAAGGGAGATAATGACAGCAACACAGTCGGTCAAAATCTGAAAGTGTAGCCCAGTTAAAGAAGCTGGCGTCACCATTGAAAAGCTAGCTTTAAGCAATGACTTCCCCGGACTGTTTATATTATTTATAATATCCTCTTCCCGAGAAAATTATAAACAGAGTCAGTATATATTTCATCTGGATAACCAGCAGTTCAACTACAAGCAAATTAAAACAGTTTCTCTTCTAGATTTAAAGTGAAATAGCAACAACTGAGCACAGAAAAATTAAAGGACGATGGAAACACATAAGGAAATGCTAGATCCTTCAGCAATAAGCAGAATTCAAACAATCACTATCAGAAACGAAATTCTCACAGAATACACACTGTAGTTTAGTTTTACAAACTGATAATCAAAAACAAATAAGAAAAATATGAAAACAGAGTCTGTATAAAGCACAGTTCATCAACTACAGCAACAAAGGAACATTTGAACACCGAAATTAAAGGACGACGGAAATGGTAGATCCTTCATTAATCTAGCTCAAACAATCAGAAATAACAAACAGAATTAATCCTCAGAAAACACGTAACTACAACATTTTGAAATTACGAAAAAGAGGAGATACAAACAGCAACAAAGCCGGTGAAAAACTTGCCTCAGTAAGCGGTGCCTAGCGTCGCCGTCGCCATTGAAGAGAAGGCTTCAATGGAGAAAGTGTTGAAACGATTTTGGTTTATGGCATTTTGCTTGTGTCAGAGAGTACAGTTAGAAACATGCAGTGCTCCAAATACGTTTCTTCCGCGCCTTAGCCTATTTATAGAGTAGGCTGTCACGTGGCAAGAATTTACCAAAGAATTATAAAAATGTGAATAATTTAGGGGTAACATTTATGTATTAACCCTCACAATATTTATTAAATTATACTTATTAAAACAAATTAGTGATATTAACTTATGTGTGTTTCAAATATGTAAATAAAAAAATATTGTATTCTAAAAGTATTAATTTAGATAAATATTACGAAAAATAAGGGCGAAGTGATGGAAGTTATCGGAAAAAAAATTATCTAAATTTTAGTCTATCACAGCATTTAAAGAATTATTCGAAGTTGGAGAAAGAAATCAAATTTGTTTAGATTAAGTATTTATTTAAGTTATGTCTAAACAAAAAATTAATCTAAATATTCCAACCCTAGCTAAATTAGGTTTTGCAACTACTATAAATTAAAAATGTATTTTCTATTACGAGAAATTATAGATAATTATTCGACTTT